CCCCTCTCTCTCTCTCTCTGTGCGTGCGTATGTATGTGCCTATCTGTGTGTCTGTCATTTCTTCGAATACAATAAAATTCTAATGTTGCATCTGTTTTAAATATCAACGAGTATCTTTGACGTCTATCACTAATTACTTGAACTGTATGATATCTAATTACAAGAAAGGTTAAAATCTTGGTATGGTATTAATTATACATTATTAACAAAGAGAGCTACAGATCTATCTGAGGGCCTCTGTGCGAGTAGATTCTTAATTATTGAGTGCACACAAGCAAATTAATCATCTGATTTATTTGGCTGATTTTGATTAAATGGGTATGGTATCGTTGACATGCTGTGATTAACCTGTTGACTGTTGTAAATCTTTCAAGTTACCCGTCAGACCTTCAAACTATGGAGGCCAACATTTACCGTAAATGTATTCATGCGTTAGTTTGATATTGATTCAGTTTTTGTAGGGTGGGGAGGGGGTTACCAGTTTATTTTAGTTTTATGTCATAGAGTGCTCTACGGGCCAGCACGTTGAAAAAGGAACGTTAAGTATAGAAAGTATTACGTGGAAACGAAGCGCGTGCAGGAAACCGATTTTATAATAAAATCATTTGCGCAGTTGTGTTATTCCACTCCTGGAGCAAGTACCGGGTGTAGGGTTACATGTACACGTCATTGACCGCTGGTGTTTCCGAAATTGAACACGCAATAGGCCAAGCCTTTCCCTTCGATAATAGTATTGCCCTCTGTATCTGATTGCGTGTCACGACTTTTTGTGGGCGTGCATCACTCTGCGGCCTTGTCCGGTATCCATCATTAAATATGATTGATTTTGAGGTTAATAACCCTTTTCGGTTATGCTGTGAGATTTTTAGAGGACGAAACTTCATCGACGCTTTGAAACGATAGTCACTATTCGTGTCTTTCGATTCACCATTCAATGTTCACTATTCACAGCGCAAATACTATCCGCCAAGCCATCGATTCTCAGTTCTGCGAGTGTATGCCTCTTCACGTGCGTAAGAAACAATAAAAACAACCTTGTTCCAAGTAAGGATTTCTACTTGTAACGGCAACTCCTTAGTCCAGCAATCTAACTGCATGCACTTTTCCTATCTATCCGTATGCCCATCTGCCTCTCAGTTTATATTCCTCTCTGTACGCTCTGATAATACGATTTAATCTTATAGTTCTGTCAATATACTATTAATACTTTTCTTTCAGAGACAAACCTTGTGTCGATTTATTTGTAGTATGCTGAACTGGAATAAATAGAAATTACCAAATCGAATTATCATACGCCTTTCTTCCCCCTTCCCTCTCCATCTGTCAACATGTCTGTTTGTCTCTGTAATTTTGTCTGTCTATCTAACGCTACATATTATTTCTGTCTGATTTTCTGGCTGGCTGTCTGCTCCTCATTCTCTAATCACGATCTCTCTCACTCTTTCTCTTAATCTTTTTCTAAAAGTGTCTCTGTCTATCTGTCTGTCAGTCTGTCTGTCTGTCTGTACGTCTTCTCTCTCTCTCTCTCTCTCTCTCTCTCTCTCTCTCTCTCTCTCTCTCTCTCTCTCTCTCTCTCAAAACGAACTGAATGAACCTTCAAGTTCGTTCAGTACAGCGCAAAGATGCCAGCCTGCCCCTCCTCCTTACTAAAACCAGGCGATTTACTATTTTTGCTAATTCTTTGCAGACTGAACTCCAAAATGCTCTTAGACGCGATCTTCAATTACAAGTGACCTAGAAGCTTACTCATACTACTACTCAACGGACATCCTTTCATAGTCTGACGTTGAAAAACGTATTGACGTCACAACCTTATACCTATCCCCTTACTCTCTCTCTCTCTCTCTCTCTCTCTCTCTCTCTCTCTCTCTCTCTCT